CTGACGATGCGGGAGAGTCTGATGATGCGGGTGTGGCTGACGATGCGGGAGAGTCTGATGATGCGGGTGTGGCTGACGATGCTGGAGAGTCTGATGATGTGGGTGTGGCTGATGATACAGGAGAGTCTGATGATGTGGGTGTGGCTGATCAGTGCTTATATGCTGGAGTTAACATCAGTATCTGAGTGCCAAGCCAAGTAACCTCCGCATGTGAATAAGAGGAAGGTGTACTGTGAAGATGTATGGTCACTAAGGGTCCTGTGCAGGACAGCCAGAGGATGTAGGCTCCAGAGGATTACATGGAGGGCTTTCCATGTAAATCATTGCCCAGAGCTATCCAGTACTCCGCATTCCATTCTCTGCTACCTGTAATGTACTTAGGACCTTCTCTATTGATCCCTGAAGTTCCCATTGGTGTGCATGTCCTAGCCTTGATAGGGATGCTGTGATTTCATCATTTCAGTCTGTGCTGGTACCCAGCATTAAAGGGCCAGTTCTGTGTGCTGACCCTAGGTGTGGACAGGAATGTCACCTGGTAAAGGTATGGTTGGTTGTCATGATTACAAGGTGGTGCGACTGTTCCCATTGGAGTTGGCTGAAGCTCTAGTGTGCACTGAAAAAGTGTCATTCTGTGTTGGTAGTGCTGCCCTGGAAAGAAGCCACATGTCAACAAAGACAACCAAAAGAACCAGGTAATGGAAGCTGGAATCAGAGGTTAATGGCATGAGGTCATAGCTAGTTGAGAGCTCATGGAGGGACCTCCAGGATAATATCCAGTCACGCGTGTGCGATGGAGCCACGGGGGTGTCGCTCCACCTCAACAACGTGGAATTATTGTCTGTCATCAGGCATTTCTTCAGTTTTTTTATTTTCTAGAAGATATTAATATCCATATTGTTACAGACCAATAATCGTTTTGAATGTTTTTGCAAACTGCAAGTCAAAATTGAAGCTTTTCAGTTTAATGATAGAGACAAAATCTAATAATTTATCCGGCTCAGCTTATGTGTTATCTTGAGTGATATTCCATCTATCCATCCATCCATCCATCCATTTTTTGAAACCACTTGTCGCCAGGGGTCCGGAGCCTATCTTAAATAATATTTTCACATATTTTGTTTTTTATTTCATCTGTGTATTCAATATTTGCTGTCTTCCTGTGAAAACAAATTTAAAAATATAAACTTTATCTGATATGTAATGCACACTTTCTTGGTTTGAAGACTGTAGTAAAATCCATTATTCCTGGGTACTTAAATTTCACATTTTCAACAGGTAAGCTAAAGTGTTTGAGCATCTAGCATGATTTTGTAGTGTTTGCTTGTTGCCTATAATAGGCAATCATATGGTCCAGTGGAAGCTCATTGTACCTAAACCTATGATGTGTGCTGTTCAGCACATAATGTTATATGACTGCAAGCTTTTCATTTACTTCGCTACCATGATTATCCTGGAATTATGAGGGCGTAGACAGTAGCCGTGGATGTGCTGCCCCATCTGTGGCCCCTGTCTGCTTGATGTGACGCCTGTGTCCTTATGGTTATCGATTTCCCTTCACACTCTGAAGGGTGATTGCGATCCGTTAATTAATGAGTGCTCCAGCCGTCTCAGGTCCCGGCGCTTGTCACTGCGATAAGAGAAACCCAACCCTTTAATGCTCCCCCCAGCCCCCAAAGCCCCACAGTGTTGGGTCAGTCTGACAAACATCGCATCACCACAGAGATCATGCATATCTCCTAAACAGGAAGCACCTTCCTTTCAAAGCAGTCACTTTAAGGGACTGAAAAGTGCTGTAAAAGTGAACTCGTAAAAAGCCGCCATTTAAATCATCAGACTTTACAAGGGGCATGAGAGACAGGGAGACAGACAGGTAGTGAAACCATAAAAGGAGTATTGACAGCTTAAGGGAACAATGTTTTTGGAGATGTTACCATGTATCATCTCCTCTTTATATTTCTGGGAAATGTCTCGCCCATTCCAGCTGCCTCAGTAAGCTCAGGAGGAGCTCACTTATAGCAGTGGCCTAGCAGCCCTTGGCTGTAGATTCATGGCTTTATAACAGGTCATATGTGTCAGTGGCACCGGGGCACTGCTGCCTCACACCTCCAGGACTGAGGCCTCCGCTCTCAGTGTATGGAGTCTGCATGCCATCCTGCTGTTGAGTGGATTTCCTCTAATTTTCTCCTACAGTCCCAAAATGGTGAATCGGCCTCCCTACCAAGAAAACAAATGATCATTTAACTTCCTCCGCACAGCATGTAATATGGGGGCCTCAGGCAGCTGCCTGTCCTGTTTATAGTTACAGCCAGTCCTGCCTGTACTTGATAAGTGGTTTAGTGATGCATTAACTTTAACCATTAATCTTGCTACATTACCTCTCCCACAAGAACAGGACTTCAGTCATAACTTCAACACCACAACCGCACACTGTCATAACTCATCAGGGTTCACTGTGTCCCCGTCCTGCAGGCTTTCCCAACCTGTCACTGACAGACCAGATGAATCTACTGCAGAGCGCTTGGATGGAGATCCTGATCTTGAGCATAGTGTTCCGCTCGCTGCCCTGTGATGACGAGCTAGTGTATGCAGAGGACTATGTCATGGACGAAAGCAGCGCCCGCCTCACCGGCCTGCTGCACCTGTATGGCTCCATCCTGCAGCTGGTGCGCAGGTACAAGAAACTGAGGCTGGAGAAGGAGGAGTTTGTCACGCTCAAAGCCATCGCTCTCACCAACTCAGGTGAACGCAGTCCCTCCTCCTGTGTCCTTTGTGTAAGTCGAGCAGAATGATGAGTTTTGAACTGCAGGCCAGGCTAAATACAGCCCTTGAGACACAGAAAGCTCTTTCTTAAGCCTCCTATTGAAAGAACCCATGTGATCACAAAAAAACCCACATAAATGAATGACAGGGGTGGATTTTCCTAATGTGAGGACCGAGTTTCCATTATCACAGAAACAAAAAA